TGCAAGTTGTGATAAAAAGCGGATTTTCAAGTTAGATTTCCTTTTAGTTGAATATCGACATATTTTCAGGTGAAGTAAGCGAAAAAACTTTCATGCAAATATTAGTAGTGTTTTAAATGTTCTCTAGAATCTCACGCAGCATCTGTATATCAATTGCGCGAAGACGGTACTTTAATAGTTAGGTCCTTCCTCACTTGTTTGCTTTGTGATATCGGTATCTAGTTGGCTAACGGGAGATCATCCACCTGATCCGAAGGATTCGACTTTAGAAGCAGAATACGACTCTTACGAGCTTTTCTTCGTTTCGAACTGCGTGAAACAGGGGGTTGATTAAACGACTGTGAGGACACTGTTTTTCCTTCACGGACTGCAACTTTGTTAGCTGTTTGTTGAGCAGGAGGCATTAGTGAATTCATCAAAGCGAGGATTTGACCTTGTTGGTCTTGAATAATTGTTAATTTCGTCTTGAGTTCATTGATTTTTATCGAAATTATCAAATATTTATCGTCGGCTAAATTTAGTGGTTGTGACTTTTGTACCAGTTTCTCTTGTATGCTCGCCATAAAAATTACTTGGATTGTTAACATCATCCAATATTGGCATTCTTTGAGCTTCTATCTCGTTCGTCGTAAGCAAATTTTTTGACTGCCGTTTGAAATGCCATTTTTTAGCACTTTGTGTTTCTATTCACTAAAATCGCATGAGACTCTCTCACAAATTATAGAAGCATTTTCTTCAAACTCATGCATACACGGATCATTTGCTTCCTTCGGAATATCATAAGCTTTTGTCATATATTCGAGCGCTTTTAAGAAGTTTTGTTGAATACCATAGGCACCAGCAACGTTACTAAACGTACCAGCTAGAGATGGGTGACTGTCGTGTAAAGAACGTTGATCTATCTCTAGAGCTTTGAGATAGTATTCCATTTGCTTCTTGCTATTGCCCATTTTTCCATGGACTGAACCGATGTTGTTGTATGTGGTGCCCTTAGCAGGACGATTTTTGTGACATCGTCAGCGTACATCAGAGGAAAGAGATCTACTTCTCCATACGAATTTATAGCTTGTGTGAAAGAAGTCCCTGATTCTGTATGCTAGCTTTACACCTATAATTCCTGTTTTATCAATCACTTTTCTCATAATACAGTCGAGCTCGATGTTAAAAAGGATGGATGAAAGACATCCTTGACGGAGGCCCATCCTTATTCTAAAACTGCTGGATGTTTCTCCATCTACTCTCACTTGAGCAGTATCATTGTATAGAAGTGTAATCATTCTCACCATTTATCGATTAGACCGTAACATCGGCATATTCGCCACAGGGCTTCTCTATTTACGGAGTCATTGCTTCTTGATAAGAGATAGAGATCTGCGGTTTTTACCGTTCAAAAGCCAATACATAACCACATCTTTTTGCAAAAGAAAACGTTCCAGAATTTCTTTTGAAAACACAGGTTTTAACGAGATCTCTGAAAAACCAGGTTATTACTCCAAAATATCAACTAGTGCCCGATCGATGTTCTCAGGTCAGTGAATAGTCTGGGGTGTTCTCTGAGTAACGGAACTCAAGCGAACCATTAATTTTGAATGGTTTGGCTTGGGGAACATTTTTGCTGAGATCTACATTTTATCATAGATAAGCACTATGGTATAAAAAATTAAAACGAAACATAGGTTTTTGACTAAGCTCTCCCGCCTGGCAACGTTTTTCTCGGTTTTAGATGAATGTGTTTCTTATTTAAAGCTATATGATCTTCATGTTCATCTTCAGTCAAATCTGGATCGATTTCAATATCATCATCATGACTTAGTTCGACCTCGACTTGTTCCGAAAAATAATCGGCTTTTTTAAAATTTTCTTCATAAAGATGGACATGTTCGATAAAACCGGATGCTGCTTTCGAATCGCAACTATTGATCCATTGCCAAGTTAATTTTTTAACATCTTTTAACCAAAATGTGGTGTTTTGATCTCGAACATAGTTCTTAAGTTCCGCCCAACAGAGCTCAATTGGATCTGAACAGAACGAACCGAAAAGAACAGTAAATGGGGTAAATGACGAAACTTTTCAGATTACTTATCTAGCATACAATGCCGAACTGGCAACCGTAATATTTCGACACCAAACAGTCTTGCTATTTCGTCAGTTAGATATTTTTTTGCCGGACCGAACTCGGATCTCCACTTTTTGTTCTTTGGCGCGGGCTGGGTCGAACCCTATAATTTTTAATACTGATCGGTTAGGCCACACTAGGGTTTCAGGTTTTCTTTGTCGGGCCAGAAATTCTCAGCCCGTGCGGATCTCTGAATTCCGCGCCTAAAGTTTATTATTAGTTGCAGAAATACCAACAAAAAATTCAAAAATATCTCAAAATAAGCAAACACACCGAGTAAACAAGTACAGAAGAAATCGCGCACGGTACGCTCTCGCCAACCAAAGCTATAATGTATCAGAGAGCAACTTTGACTCCTTTATTTACTTTCAAAGCATCTGCCATTGCTTCACCTCCTCGAGCAGATATTTCTTTCCAGAAAAGATCGAGGTAAGTGAGAGTTTTATTCATTTTCAAAGCATCGGCCATTGCTTCACATCCACAAGCAGATATTGCATTCCAAGAAAGAGCAAAGTGAGCGAGAGTTTTGTTTGCTTTCAAAGCATCTGCCAGTCCTTCACCTCCTCGAGCACATATCTGATTACGGGAAAGACTAAGGTGAGTGAGAGTTTTATTTACTTTCAACGCATCTGATAGTGCTTCAACTCCGCCAGCAGATGTTTGGCTGTCCCTAAGATCAAGGTGAGCGAGAGTTCTGTTTACTTTCAATGCATTTGCCACTGCTTCACCTCCTCAAGCCGATATTTGGTTACGGGAAAGACCAAGATGAGCGAGAGTTTTATTTACTTTCAACGTATCTGCCATTGCTTCACCTCCTCTAGCAGATATTTGGTTGTCTCTAAGATTAAGATGAGCGAGATTTACTTTCAACGCATCTGCCAATATCTCTGTATTGTTGTCATAAATTCGCGCGCCAACCAGATCAATTTCAGATATGAAACTAAGTCCTTATAATGTTTCTTCCAGCTGCTTATTTTTGATCACTCGTGAAACTAAATGAACCTTTGGATGTGTAATGCAACTCGTTCGATAAGGTACTTGGTAACCATCAGTTTCCTCTTGCACATCTGTTACAACCAACCGTAGCATATATTCAACATCCAAATCTGCCTTTGTTATGTGCTTTAATAAATGTTTGGTGAATACTCCATTTTGACAGTTAGTAGCCGAATCTTCTGCAAAGAAAAGACAATCATGGATCCAGCTGGTGCTAACATCAGACTTAAACCATCATATTCCTGTGACATACTAAATTCACGAGTTCTCACTCGACAGCAGTCCAGAATAAATATTGCCACAAACGGGTCTCGCTGAGTGATTTTGTGCAAGATGAGCTGAGCCTTTACTGCATGCACTTGCACATAAGAACTTACACTCAGCTTCTTGTCGGGTCTATTACGATAGTCATAGTCACAAGGTAGGAGATAATTTTGGTCATCCACTTGTAATGCATGTCTAAGTTAAAAAGCACAGAAATTATGTCTTATGTTCTTCCGGTAGACTGATTTGTGTTGGATAAAGTCAGTCTAGTTTGAAATAAAGAATTTGTGCATATTACGATCAGAAATCAATCACTTATTTTATTTGTATTGTTCCAATAATTCTTTTAAGTAGTCATGCGTATATTTCCACCAACAAGATGACGGCAGTTGAGCAGGGTCGCCATCAGATATTTGTAACATAATACCGTAACAGATAATATCGTCTGTAATATATTGGCTTTCTGGTGGTATTATCCATTCTAATTCATTATTGTCAAAGTTTTCATCAATTTTTATACGATCTTTGTGTTTATCGCTTAAGATTGTTTCTGGACGAATTGTACGATTGTCTATAAATCTTGGATTAACACGACATTGAAGAACTAACTGATGATACTTATTTGTACCATTATGTTTTCTCAACGGTTCCGCATAACGTGGATGAGCACAATATTCAATACTAGGTGATACATAAAGAGTCGGTCTTGTTGTATAGTATCTACCAGATGTAGGCTTTATTCCAGAATTTAAAATCGCTGATGCAATTTCAGTTCCGGTGCCATGATAAGCGATATGCCAATCCCCCCAACGCTGATCAAATTCTTCCGCATCTTTAGCAATTTTTATTCCAAATCGCACCCAACCTTTGGAATATTCAAACGACAAACGTATGAATTGTGATATAATTCATATTATATAACATCTTACCTTTTGGACAATAGTATGGCTTTCCTCCACGATCCAATGCTCCATTCCAGAATGCCCTATTCACTATCCCGTTATTTTCTCTCTTCCGATCGTTATTATTATCAACATTTTCATCATCATTTTCAACCCTCACACTTACCCACCCTTCACGCTCACCCTCAATTTCAACATCTTCATTATCAATATGGGCATTTTCATGATCAGCAAGATCATGGTTATTTAAATATGTACGGTTCCATTCAGGACTCAAAAATCGTTCTTCTACCTTTAAATAACCTACTTCAATTGATGTTATGTTTAAATAATTAATGATATCGGAATATTGACTATCCGTTAAAGTTTCCATAACTTTTTGACCATGTGGTGACTGAACAGCAATATGTAAGTCAACACTGCCACATTGTACATCGTTAATAATAAATTTTTCTTTTGGTATCTGTAAATGTTGACAGATTAGTTGACAAAATTTATCGTTTTTATCACTCATGCTGTTTTTCCATTCTTGATAGTTCTCGTTAAGTCGTATGACCATCGATAAATTATTTTCTATATAAATTAGAATGAAATATACACTCAAGTTCTACTGATAAAACTCAGGTTAATCAAAATACAGTCGTAATTTTACACTTAACTCATTCAGATCTGAATTTCTTCCTAAGCAGTCAACTTGATACTGTCAGTATAAGGTGACTATAGTATATTATGTCGATGCTTCAGTTTCACAGATGTACCATGAAGTGTAAAGGAAATTCTTTTAGAAATCCAGATGATTTTCTGGAGACACTTTAGAGAATCCTGATGGTACCATCAGATCGGCCTAGCCCAAAGATTGTCTCCTGAAGCATTAATGTTCAAACTTCAGATGATATTGATTTCACAAAACATGTGTCCTGAATATATACCTACCGATCTCAATGGGTTAAATAAATGCAAACCACTACCGACAGAAATATTGCGAGATGTTGTAGTCTTTTCCAGAATTCAAATGTCCACGATCGAATCAACGATCTTAAAATTCATCTAGCAAAAGTTACGGTCATTTCCATTATAATAATAGAGATCTTATCTCTACTTAATCGATAAACAATTACAAACTATACAACCGCTATTTTAGTTACTTGACAGTCAGACAGATTTCATAGCAAAAGAAAATACCACGACTGGTTTTCATCAGGTGGTTTTATTCGAGAAAGACAGAGCCAAGCCTCGATAAGCAACATAACGCCATTCCCAGTGTGAGGGAGTTATCATTCCTTGTTCTCATCGAACAAGAGGGAGCAGAACATCGATGACCACTGCACATGATCTGCTTCGCTCCGATACAATAACAGATGTATTCTCTATGGTTGGTATTTAACGAGCTAATAAGTTAAAACAAAAGTTTTCTGACCGAAATATTTTCCAAAAACATTGTTCCGTGAAATAAATTTAAGAATTTTTACACAAAACTGAATCGAACCTTTTTTGCCTGAATATTTATTTCATCACGACAAAAAGTATACATTGAAGGATAACATCGAGTCACTGCACAACTTCAATCATTGTGCAGAATATAGCAAAGAATGGCGAAGTTGATTTTTGCAGTTCGTCTGCAAAGATCAAGTTCGTGTGTTCGATTCTAGCTTCGTGCAAGGATTGATTTTGTGTTTTTGATAGTTTAAGTTTCAGAATGATATAACGGAAATTTATATTCTTGATTTCATTCTGGTTCAAGATTAAAGCTTAAACCAACCAAAACTCCGTTTATACATCTACCCGCTTGATCTGTAACGAATTTGCAAAAAATCGGTAAAAAATTGTGGATTTCTGGCTCTGTTTCTTTACTTATTTCATAAAAGAAATAACGTCGAATAGACTGTGCATGAAAGTTTCGATAGAGAGTTCGACTTCAGTATTCGTTTCTTACGCAATAGATTCTATTATATGAAGGACTAAAGTAGACCTTATGACTTTACTCATAATACATCAACATTCTATGGAAAACAAGTTTCAGAACAAGTTAGTTAAACAGTTTTGGACAAACTTAGCATTGTTTCAAAAATTCGATCATTTTTTAAGTTTATACTCTTAAAACACTTACGTAAAGGATCATCAATTTTTCCCATTCGAATTATAGACTTTGAATTATTATTATTCATTTTTCCAAAATCTAATTCAAATTTTGACCCATTTGATAATTTATTCAATGTTGATTCAAAATCAATTAACTGTTGTTGAGTTTGTTGTTTATCATGTTGAATACGATTAAAATGATCATGACGTCTATGTTCTAGTTCATTTAACCATTGAATTATTTGTTTTTGAAGCAAATTTGTATCATATTTATCTTTTTCTTCTAACATTGATATTATATTACTATAACTATATTTCAAATTATTAATATATTTCATTTTTTTCTGTTCTAATAATTCAATATTATCATTTGTTAAATTATAATATGATATACAAGTTTTTTCTAAACTTATTTCTTCATCAATATCTTTTGTAAATTCATTTATTCCATTATTGTAAATAATTTCTAATTTTTCAATTAGTTCATTAATTAGTTTTTGTCTTTGTTTATATAATGGATATAATAATAGAATTGTTTCTTTCATTATTTGATTTTCTAGAATGAATGTTGTATTATTTGAAAATTTTGGTTTTATAGATAATATAATTGATAATGATTGTACAATTGATTTAATTTTTTGACATGCTAATTGATTTTTTGTTGTACTCCATCGTTCAAAATTTCTTAAATAATTTGATGATATAGAATTAATACATATAATTTCAATTAATTCATTAATATCATACGTTACATTTTCTTCCTTTTCTTTTCGCCAATTTTTTATTGATATACGTAAATTATTAAGTTCTTGTAATTTAATTTCTTTTTCATTTTCATATTGTTCTTTATTATTATTATTGTTCATTTGTGAGTTTTCCCATATTTTAATATCATCTTTAACTAATTGTAGTAAAACATCACATTCACGATTATATTGATCATATTGTTGTTTTAACCATTTTTTTAATTCATTTTCTAATTTAATAGTTAACGTTTTTAAATTACTATCAATTAATTTTAATCCATCATTTAATATAAATTCTATACGATTAATAGTAGATTTTATAAACAAACATTTTTCAATTTCTTTTTGTTTTTCACTCAATTGATTTTTAATTAATTTCTTTTGTTTTTCACCAAATATTATTAATGAAAAAGCGAGATCTTCGTTCATTTCTAATTAAATATTTTTTTCATTTAAATGTACTGCCTTTTAAAATCAAAGATTAAAGGTTATTTTTGCATGAGAGAAAGGTAGAAATTTATATTTGTTTAAAAGTTTGAAAAAGTCATTTTATCGCGGCCTTATTGAAAAAGCGCAGACATCGATAGTTTATATTTTTCTTCTTTACTTTGTTTCGAACAACCACTCAAAATATTTTCAGTATATGTTCGAATTGTTAAATTTCTTATATTAATATGTTTACGCATATTTTTCGAAATATATACATCATTTTAAAAAGAATAATAAAATATTGAAAGAAATATAGAAGAATTGATTGGAAAGAATGTTCGAAAATTTCTTCTCATCTCATACTCAGTTGAAAATGTCTTCTTTTTCGTAAGACTTTCCTCTATTGAAATAAAGAAAAAATTCGAGACTACTATACGGATATCCTGTGAGAAATTTTGTAAAAATCATCACATTTTTGTTCCGTTTAAATAAAGCACGTGTAGTGTACAGTACTGAAAGTTTCATCATTATGCCTGTAGTATAGCATTAATCAAAGGTCCTTCTTAACAACGGCTTTATTCAACAGTTATGTGCACTTTAAAGTAGATGTGGATTGAAAACAGGCGAAAAATTAATTCTCTCCATAACCATGGGTTAGAAGTAAGATTTCGGTACCATATATACACTGCGATCAGCTTTTATCCAATGATGTCGTTGAAAGTACTATACATTTATTACATTAAAATTGTTGAACATTTAAATGCAAATAATGTTGTAAACGCAAAAATAATTATTATTTCGATCAGTGGAGCCGATAAATTGAAAAGTACTTAGATTACAACGATTATTTCCTGTGCAAAATTCAGTCGATGAGTAGCTGTTACCACTGTTGTTGTAGCCAAAGTCCCTCCCTGTACACTAGTTCCACAGCATGATTACATAATTTGCGAATAGTTTATTGAAAAAATTCTTAGCGAATAGAAATCTTGAAAATAGTTTCATTTGGTAATCCGCAGAGTATATTCGAGAACTGGAAAAAACAGAGTTGTTTAATATACATGAGTGAGTTGCTTTGGCATCTTACCCTTGCTGTTCACCGATTGTTTGGCTTATAAAAGTCGTCCTACGGAATAAAACTTCATGTTTTTTTTTGGGTTTGTTCGTTTAAAGGTGGTTATTCAGTACTGAAAATTAAAAGTTTCTATCTCATTTGGTTGTCGAGATATGAACGAAACAGGGCCAAAACAGAGTAATTTTGGCGCCGCCTCTCGAAAGAAACGGGAGTTTTCCTCCATCCTGTTTAAAGATTACTAAATTATACTTTAATGGAATTTGTAGCACGAAAATAGGGCTTTCAAATTATGTACTTTAATTTCAAGTAAAATTAAAGCTGGAGGAAAAACTGCTGTTACAGACACTTTTAAAAATTTTGTCCTGCGAGACTTCAAGACGGTCTCCATACGATGCAAATGATTTAAAAATATTTTCAAATTGGCAGAAAAATACAGCAAGAGTAGCTCTACATTTTGCTGGAAGAGGGTTTTTTCCAAGTCTTTATATCTCAATAAAAACCGTATTTGAATATGCTATACAATGTTGTTTTCACACAAAATGTCCTGCAAGATTTAAAAAATTGTTTTGTCTATAACTCGAAAATGAGTGATCCATTTGAGGTCAAAATTTTACCCTTTTTTCCTTCTTGAGCGATTAGTATGTGATAAAAAAACGAGCTTTCAGAAACACTTCGTTCATAAGAAAAGCGCATTTTACACCAAAAATGTCCTGCGAGATTTATTCTGTCTAGAACTTGATCAAAACCGAGTATAACTGACACTTATAATGCATCAATAGATTCCTCGGAGTCAGGACTATCTATGTGACTGAATGTAGACCCTTTTGGAAGCATATCAGTTGTGCAAAAAGTATTAAGGGTTGCAATACTTCACAATTTCTTCAATTTAACGCTTTAAAGTCCTATGGCTATTCAAATTGACATTGGCATTATCATAATAGCCAACTCAGAAAGCATCTTATATCGGTTGTAGATAATTAAATAGGTCATTTTCAAGGCTACCAATAGCCACCGGGTGCCAGTCCTAAGACTCGCAGGAAATTCGACATAATACCCGAGTCGTGGAAAACCAAGGTCTCGCTTGACTCTCATTTTGAAGAGGATACCTTGGGCTATTTTAGGATGAAAGAAAATCAATACAGTCCTATTGAAAAATTTTTACACATGGCCTGGTTTTTCAAACATCTCCTAGAAAATCTGTTTCAGAAAACACTTTCGGAAAAGTTTACGCTTCCCAAGGAGAAAAAAAATATCGACTATCGGGCGATCTACCCAGTGAAAAAAAATGAGCGGGATTCCGCCAGTTCCTGCGGGAAAATATTTTTTCGTCGGGAGTTTCAATTTTTCCGCAGGAAATTTTCAGTTTTCGGCGGGGAAACGCTGATTCACGACGAAATGTTTTTTCTGAACGTATG